TGTAGATACCACCCGAAGCAGGCGAGAGCCGGGTCTGCTCCAGAGCCTTCTGAAGTCAGTGGGAGTCTTTCTCCTGACTTCACTGCATTTGGGGCAGGCCCTGGATGAACATCCCTCAGGTTAGACTGTTTAATCATCCATTCAGGAACACACAAAGCAGATCACATACAGTCTTAGCCTGCATTGTACGGTGTTATGAAACGAGAAGATTATTTGATATGATTCAGAGATAGCTCAGGTATAAGGTTAAAAAAAAAAAAAAAAAGAAACAGCACCTTTGATGTTTTACATTACACTTCAGTTATTCCTCGAGGGGCATATTCTCGTCACCTTACCCAGGTGAATATCGCACTTGGTAATTTGGTCAAAAACATTCCCTCAAACATCTTTTTAACAGAAAACATTTGGGAAGGAAGAGTTTGGCTTGATGGAGACGCCTGCCAAAATGAAGGGAGAAGAAAAGATGAATCCATTGGTTTTCTTCTTTCAACAGACAAAAAAAAAAAAAAGAATAAAAATCTGTTTCGGAGGGATTTTCTAACAGGATATTTTTTGTTTCCAAAGCCTGTGGAGAAACAACTTCACGACATCCGTGAAAAAGTTATTTTGAGCTGATGCATCAACCACCTGTGTTACCACTGGAGAAGTCTGATTCTCACCGCACCTCTCTCGGGTCAAAATCAACCTTTGCCCCTTTTGCTTCCTGGGGTGTCAGAATCAAAGCAACAGGACTGACTCCCACAAATGAGCAGGGCAAGATTTAGGTCCATCTTACCCCAAAGTCAGATGAAATCTGCAGGGTTGTTGGTGCTTTACCTAGAGAATCTTGGCAAGGATTTGCTGTTGCTAGAAATATAAGGAGGGCAAGGTCAAGGTATCAGCAGAGCAGTTTCTTTGACTAGACCTACCGCTGCCTCTTTAATCCTAAAGATTATGGGGAAAAAAAATGAACATAACACAGGCAATAAAATTCTGTGCATAGGCACAGTGTGCTGCAAACGGCTTGCATGGAGCAACAGGGTAAATCCAATGGCTTGTTCTTCAGAGGAGACGTCAACACCAACCCATAGCTAGTGGCAGCAATCGAGATGCTCCCTCCATGAGAACTGGTGGGCGACGAAACCCATCGTGGAGCCGAATCCTCTCGGAGCACCCACGGTGGGGCTCGCCGTGGAGGAGGCGGGGGGGGTTAACACCCCTGGCACCCGAGCTGCTTTTGTTGGTAGGAGACGGGTCTCCTTAGGGGCCTGGGCTGCTCCAGCTGTGCCGACAAAACCTTTGTACCGCGGAGCTGCGCGAGTGCGGGCCTGCGGTGGGGCCTGCCCCAACCCCCGCCGGCACGGCGGCAAGGCCGGCGCTGAGCGGGGTGAAACGACCCCGTGCTGGAGAGATGCCACCCGGGAAAGCATCTGCTCCTCACCCTGCGTGTCTGCGCTGCTCTTCAAGTGGGGGCTACCCTTGGGGTGGTTGCATGTGCAGCCAGTCTTGGAGGGGACAAGATCCACAGAGAGCAGCCAGTTGTCCTTGCAGTTCTGAGTGTGGCCATGAGTTTCTACTAAGTGTGGCTGTGCTGCATCAGCCCGGACTGCTCTGGCAGTGTCTGGCAAGGATGCTTGGGAAGAGCG